TTCAGGCTCCCTGTGATTATTTTGTATATCCAGTGCTATACAGTTCACAGGCACAGCCAAAGGCGAGAAGGTTCCTCCAAGGCTCTGATGAGTAGGGATTTCACATGACCCAAACGGGATGTGTCCACCCAGACATGTGCAGACAGACCTGGGCCTGCTCTGCTTGTGCCTAAAGCTGACTGGGACTCAATCCAGCTTAAGACAAAAGCCACAGAGGCACATTAGTACAGCACTCTACCCAAGCTCATATGACCAAAGTAGGTGCCCTGGGCAATCACCAACAAGACCTTTGATTTTGCTGTCCACAACAGTTATATGAGAATGTTAGGGTTATAAATCACCAACAGCACAGAAAATTCCTAATAACCGTAACTGGTAACTATTAAAAAGAACAGATTTAAGTGAACAAGTGTGCTACTCTACCCTAGCTGAATGATGGATTTCAAGCCATCTGGTCCTTGGGGAACAATGTTCCATATTGTAAGGGTGTGTGGAAAATAATACAAAAATGCAGCTCTATTGTCAGAAGGCTTCAATTTCTTAGAAAGGATCCTACATCTTCATTAAAAAAGAACAAAAAAACCAACAACATATTTAGAAACTCGTAAGGTGACAAAAGTTTGGAAAACCAGTTAGAGAGTGCATAATGAAAGGAAATCCACCCTTGGGTGGAAAGAGCTGTTAGAAACCCAATCACCCAAACCCCTCACAACATCAGGGACCTCACTGGTATGGGTTGTGAGGAAGCTTATTCAACAAAAAGGAAACTGTTCAGAAGGAAGAAAGTGAATTGAAATTTAGCCAATACAAAGACAAATGTGAATGCACAAAGAGAGGCTTTAATATCCTGAATGGTCATTAAAAGGCACCTCCAATAACAAGTGCCTTGTACAGGTGGGGGAACAATCTTTCCCTGTATCACCAGTGTCCTCCTGTACAAATAGCACCTGGAAGTGCCCACCATCCAAGCAGCCACCAGGCTCAATCACATTTAGCTTGAATGCATCAGTGAACATGAGAACAAAGCATATTTCTGCATGTGCATGAGTGACAAGACAACCCTACACTGAAATGAAAGGAGCTGTTGGTCTACCAGGCTCTTCCTTTCTACTGAAATAGAATTTTACCCTATGATTATCTGCAGAGGACTTGGGCTACTTTCAAGATAGTTTAGAGAGGAAAAAATCAATGACCATCTATCTATGCCTTAGCACTTTCAGGACTCTCAAAGCAGTTGACCTTTCTGGAGAGAAGAAAAAAAAATATACAAAACTTTTTCACCTCTCTAAGTGATGTGGATGCAACCTCGATGGGTGAGGTGGACTGGGCTGAAAGCTCCACAATGTATGCAAGCCTAATACTTCATCACTGAAAAAGACCAAGTAACCTTTCCTCACTTCCTAAAGCCACTGCTAGTCCTGGTGCTCACCAAACCTCTGGAGCTGCTGAAGCAGTTCACTGACCAGCAGGAAGCTCACCCAGGACAGACACAGCTGACTTTCTATCAGCACCGTGAGCTGTGGGTGGAGCAGTGCTGGAGCAAGTGCAAGGGCTGAGGAGAACTGGAGAAAAGAGCAGAGCCATCCCCAGGGCAGCAGGAATGGTGACAGCCCAGCAAAGCCCAGCACAGCCAAGCACCCAGCCCACAGACAGCAGCAGAACACGGAAGAGGACAAGGAGGAGGAAGAAGGGAAGATGGTAACAAATAAAACACTTGTTTTGGGGAAACTGCCTATAATTAAAACCGCAAAGTAAACACAAACTTGGCAGCTGGAGAGAACAGTGCTGAGTTCTGTTTTGGATTAACAACTTTACTCAGGTATTGCCCATACCCAGGTTTTCTGATCAGATAAACATTTATTTTATCTCTGAACAAATATTTTGCATCTCCCTACCTCTGTGTGAAGAAACCAATTAAGGGAAAGGAGGACACCTGCTTAGTCCCGGAGAAAAGAATCAGGATATGCACACAATGCTCTGACAATTGCACAGAACACTCAGGTGGGAAAGAAAAGTAAATGAACAGACAGGGAACTTGCTCTTGACCCTGGTACTGGCTATGGTACCATGAAGCTCTGGTTGCTCCTGGAGGTACCCGCAGCTGGTAACTCCTGCCTGGCAACCTGTCTGTGCTTGATGCTGGGCTTTCTCTTCTGTTCATTAAATAACACTGAAGCAGCCTCTTTTAAGTGATTTGTCAGAAAAGGCTGACAGATTTGAGCTGTGGCTCCAACACTGCTCTATCAATCCAAATTAGGGACACTGCCTCCTGATTCATACCCAAAAGAGGTTCCACCCTGAACCAAGCTCCACAGGTGATGCTTACCTTTCAGAGGACTCTTCTGACTGTCTCCATGCAGGGAGGGAAACACAGCCCATAAAGAAGGACTGCACTGAGGAGGGTATTGCTGGGTGACTGCAGGTATCTATCACCACTGCTATCCCTATCACTCAGGGAAGTCAGCAGGGTAGAACAGGCTGATGTGCTGTACAGAAACCCATGATGCTCCTACCCAGATGTGTCAGCTACAGCGCTGGGAAATGGAAAGCAATCTAGAAGGAGGAGAGGGGAAAGCTTACACAGAGGAAAGGTACAGCAAATGGGAAATTTGGACCTATTCCCAGCTTCCAAAGGAGAGGGCTCAGCCACATGAAGTACATGTGTCCTCTGCAGAGCTTCACCAAACTCCCAGCCTCTGCTTCTGATCGCCCCAAGGGGCTGTCACTTCAAAGCTCAGCAGTGTCCTGACAGGCAGCAATACCTTGGGGCTCACATGCATGCCCCAAAGTCCCTGCACTCATCACCAAGTAGTCTGCTGAGCATCCCACCACAAAAGTACCAAAGTGACACATGTGCCATAAAAATAGCTGAAATCACTATTCCTACCACTTTAATCAGCTTTTAATTGCCAAGAGAAGACAGTACAGATACTCAACAGGAGTCGTGCTTGAATGCATCAGAGGTGTGATAGGCTTTTTTGTGGAAATCTTCCTTTTTTCAACAAGTATCTTTGAAATCAAAAGCAGCTTGTGGGAAGACTTGGGAAAACCCAGAATAACAGCAGTGATCCAACCGGCATGCACTGCTCAACACAGCAGAGGCAAAAGCACTGCAACTCAGTGAAGTTAACAGCACACCTTGGAGGTTTGTAAGCAAACAAAAAGTTAAAGAAGCAGAAAGACTCAAAATTATCAAGAGATGGGAAGGAAACAGAAGGAGAAATGGAGAGAAGGTAAATCTTCCCTGATCATACCAGCTTTTTGTACATGGCCATGGATACCATTTCAGTAGCTTCCTTCAAACAACAACATTACTTCATGAATGCATCCAAGCACACTGGCACAGTCCTGTTACCACTAAAACTTTAGTTTCTATTTTTAGTTTTATTTTTTTATTTATTTAGATTTTAGTTTTTATTTAGTGTTTTACCACACTAAATACCAGGAGTTTATGGGCGAACCTCCTGGCAGGCTTCTGCCCAGAGAGCAGCAGACTCAGCACTTTGTCCAGGGAGCTCTGGCAGATGCTCCAGCTGTGGGTCACTATTCTGACTTCAGACTCTTGGAAAGACATCAACTGGTGTGACTGGAGTGTTGTAAAAAAAGCTGTGCTCATCCAGGGAAGATGAAGCCCATTTCAGTCTGGGAAGTCTCCCACTATATATTTTTAAATCACAGTTATGCACAGGGAGGAACCCAGGCAGAGGGCTGGAGCACCAGCTCCTGTGTGTGTGCTCTGTGGCTGAGCATCGTGGGGAATGAGCAACAGCCCCAGCAGCCTGTAACACGCCACCAGGTCATGTTTTTAACTAAAATGGTAAAAACAGAGGTGGGGGTGTGGGTGGATTCACTGCAAACTAGGGTATTAACCAGCCAGAAGGAAGGTACACTGTAGGTGCCTCCTCCACACCATATAGTACCCCAATATCACACCAAACTCACATGGTTGGATTAGTGATGAACTCTATGCAGGCCAGTGAAGGAGCAGGAGGAGGTGCTTCAGGCATCTGCAGCCCATGATGAGGCACCTGCATCCCTGCAGCCTGTGGAGAACCACAGGGGAGCAGAGATCCACCTGCAGCCTGGGGAGAAGACCCACACCAGTGCTGGTGGATGACTGAAACACGGCTGGGAAGCTGTGCTGGAGCTGGCTCCTGACAGGGACCTGAGGACCCAGAGAGAGAGGAGCCCACACTCAGAGCAGGTTTCCTGGTGGGATCTGTGACCCTGTGGGGGACCCACGCTGGAGCAGCCTGTCCCTGAAGGACTGGACCCCTCAGAAGTGTGAGCCACATTGCAGCAGTTTGTGAAGAGCAGCAGCCCATGGCAAGGACCCACACTGGAGATGTTCATGGAGAACTGGCTCCTGTGGGAGTGACCCCATGCTGGAGCAGGGAAAGGACTCCTCTTCCTGAGCAGCAGCAAACACAACCTGTGATGAACTGACTGTAAACTCCCTGTGCTGCCCAAGGGGAAGGAGGTAGAGCCTGAGAAGGAGAATGGGTTGGTAGAAGATCTTTATAAGATTCATTTTACTTCTCATTACCCTGTTCTGATTTCATTGGTATATTTTCACTGGTAATAAATTCAATTAATTTCCCCAAGTCAAGTCTGTTTGGCCTATGACAGTAATCAGTTGATCTCTCCCTGCCTTTATCTCAAATCATTAGCCTTGTTACTATTTTCCCTCCCCTCTCTTGTTGCAAAGGGGAGTGACAGAGTGGCTTTTGGCATCCAGCCAGTGTCAACTCACCACAATAAGGAAGGCTGGATGGCAGATCCTGAGATGCTCCTCACCAGCCATGTCACTTCATCTACCCACCGTGCAGCACTGGCTGTGGGCATCTGAAATGCAACTCTGCAGCATCCAAGCTGGGATGGATGAACCCTCTCTCAGCTCTATCATGCTCAGAAAACAACTCTGATCTAGCAATCAATCAAATCAAACAATCAAAACTCTACTTTTTACCACAGCCTTCTTTCTCTCTCAAACAGGAGCAGGGGTTAAGTCCAGCCTGGGATGCTGAGCCCCTGCAGATGGGCAGAGTGAGGGATGAGGAGGAGAAGAATTTCCCTGGCCCACCTGAGCCCAGAGAGAATCTCCTGCTTTGCTGCAATCCTGCTGCTCCTCTCAAATACTTTATTCACCAACTGCAAGTAAAGCTCCAGAAGGATTGCCAGCACTGATTCAGAGGTCTGTGAGGTATTTCCACATGATTTTATTTTTTACTGGCTGAGTATTTCTGGCTAAGCCAACAAATCCAGTCATTGCTGTTACACATTGTTCTCAGTCCCACATTTATTTTTGCTCATGGTAAAAAAAAACTGCAGTTCTTTCTGATTAACTCTACAGAAACTCCTATTACTCACACAGGACTCTGAAAGTTGGCTTGAACTAATCAGCAAATTGGTTTAAAGCAATTAGATTTTGAGGATCAGCATCCTCTGGCATACAAAATGCAATTCTGAGGGGTTTATTTGCTTCTAATGTTATTTTTTGTCTTGCTGTCCCTATCAGGTTAATCCCAGACAGGACAGAAATGTCCTCAAACCCAGCCAACCCATCGTGGTATAACCCAAAATAGGACAATTAGTTTCCACAACGGGATTCTCTACAGAAGCAACATAGCCTGTTGCAGTCTTGGCTCTCTACATGCCTTGTGATTCAGTTTTGAGGGGAGGAAGTTCACAAAGAAGCTGCATGAGTTAGTGCAAACCCCAGACGTGCATCCTGCAAAAGGCAGCAGAGATGACCCTAAAGGTGATTGCACAAGTCAATGCTTTGCCACAGAAATACAGAATCATGAACTGTCCTGAGCTCGAGGGGACCCACAGGCATCGAGTCCAACTCCTGACCTTGCACAGAACAACTCCAGGAGTCCCACCATGTGCCTGAGAGCATTGTCCAAACACTTCCTGAACTCTGGTAGGTTTGGTGCTGTGCCCACATCCCAGGGGAGCCTAATTCCAAAACACCCTCTGGGTGAAGAACTTTCTCCTATTAATCCCCCACCCCACTACTGCCCCGACTCAGCTTCATGCCATTCTCTCAAGTTCTCTCACTGCTTACCAGAGAGATCAGTGCCTGCTCCTCTGCCTCCTCGGACTTGCAGCAGGCTTGGCCAGCTGGCCAGGCACAGCTGTTTGCTGGTGGTCCAGTACAGGACAACTCATCCCTCAAAACAAGATGAATGAGTTTCAGCAGCAAGTGCAGACTCCCTGACAGAGGGACACAAAAACACCCTAAGAAAGACTTACAGCACATATAAAAACACAAGCCAAAGAGTTGCACAGTGCCCTTTCATACACCATTCCCCCAAGTCTGACAAGAGAAGAACGTGAGGCTGCAGCTGGGCTTTTACAGGAGCACAGTGCCTGTGCTGATGGTTTCAAGTTGGCTCAGGGTCAGTGCAGCTTCTCAGTGGGAAAGCAGCCCTGAGGACTCAACACAAAGCACAGTGACTCTTCTCTTCCCTGTTGTCAAAGCATCACTTGAAGCAAAAGCCTGAAAATGTGTTACCTGGGAAAGCAAAGCCACCACATTAGGGAGTGACAGCACAAAGCAGACTGTGACATTTACAAGTGAGCTTGAGCTCACTCATTTGTATTTCAAAGGCCAGGTTGACACAAGATATTTTTCTTGTTCTAGTTTTGGCTGTGAAGGGAATAATACACAATTTTGAGTGCTACTGCCACTGTGTCAGCTTTCCTGCAGAGTCAGATACAACATTCAGCCTGCTTCGCTTGGAGAACATAAGGACCAATCTTGGAAAGTTCCCCTTTGGCTGACATAAACAAAACCAATTTAGGAAGCTTGCTCATGGTCCATACTCTCACCAACCCATCCTCAACTTCCTATGGCTCACGTGAATGAAGCTAATCGTGTTGAGTGTCTCCCCTCCTTCAGCTGCTTCACACTATGAAAGCTTTCCATCTTCAGAGCTCTCACTGACTGATGGTGACATTTAGTGACAAAACAGGCTCAACAGTTTAACACCTTTGTGACGTCCATCACACTGTAAGATGTCCTCCTATGCAGGAAAGGATCAGTATTTCTGATCCCACCACTAGTAGTGACCAGCACTGATCAGGCACAGCCCTCTTGGTGACAAGCCACAGTGCTCCTTAGACCGAGATCTGCCTCTTCAGCCCAGAAACCCAGAGTAATACTGAGTAGAAATCCAGTTTACAGCTTTCCCTGTCATGCCAGACCCATCAAGACCCTTGCTGGAGGTGGCAGTATCCCACTTGGGCATAACACCTGCCTCAGCTGACAACCTTGGAACTGGCAGCCAAGGTACACAGTCCACTTACCTGCCTCACATCCTCCTCCTACTAAACACCCAACTGTCCCAAAGGAACAACCCATCCTCCCCACTTTTCACCTCACGTATTTTATGCCTCTGTTTGCAGGTCATCGGTTCAGGAACTCCAGAGCTTCTCGGAAACCCTTACTGGCCTACAACAAAGCTCATCACAATTCAGCTGGGCAAATACATGGAACTGACAAAGCCACAGTGAGGCAGGTCTCCATCCCCTTGGCAGATACCATCATCACAATGTGGAGGTGTTAAAGAGATGCCATCATAAATGGCATCACAAAGACCATGACTGTCTGAGCAATAGAGATCACCCTCTTCTAAGAAGGACCAAAAGACAGGAACATTATGCTCCACTGGTTCCCTCAAGTCAGAGTTAACCACAAAGTTTCACTCCTCCTCCGTGACTCCATGTGATCCCACAGTTAACTCTGGCTCCTTTCCTGTCCCCAAACATACTGGCACTGTCACAGTTCTACCCACTTTTTGGGGCCATGCATGTGACCCAAGCAGGCACACTAGGAAAGCAAAATAGCGAAGTAAGGTAAGTGTTCAAGAAACTGTGGGGTAAAAGATTTGCCCAGTTAATGATCTTCATACCTGAATCAGAATTTTCCTTTCAAGTTTGCCCATCCAGTGCAGTTTCTCATACCTACCACCCACCCACACACTCCACCTCTGCCTTGGCTGCTGTCTCCAGCCTTCATCCACGCCTGTGACACCCTATTCACGGTCTAACATGTCTCCCCCTCTATTTCAGGGCAGTTTTATCCCCATTTTTAAAGCCATTTTCTCCATATACACTTTGCCCACATTTGGAGCACAAGTGTGTGTAACTCAGGGACCTGGAGACTTCCAGCCAGCAGCTCCAAGGCCCCCACACCCCTCACCTGCAGTCACCTGAAATGGTGCTCGACACTTTGTGTCTCCCCTTGCCTGGGTGGAGCAATGGCTTTGTTTGGGGATGAAGGGAAGCAAGACAGAGAGACCTGGCAATGGACTGGTTGGACACAACATGTCCAAGCCAAGATCCCACCACAAAAGTGAGTTATTTCCTTGTGACAGCACAGACAAGACAAGCTTTATATAAATCACAGTAAAGCATACTCACACAGAGCTATATGTAAGATATATATCCAGTACACACCAAAATAACACCAAGGAGTATGGATGCCAAAGAACGGGTAAAATTAGCATATCAGAGAAGTGGCAAAATCCTATAAGAGCATGGAAAAAAGGCCTATTTTGAACAGTAATGAACACATTTCAAAAATATTGGATATTCTTGGCTTGGAGCCCTACATACCACAACATATGACAATCACATCAGATTGAAGAATGAGAAAAATCAGCCAGAAGGTCCACTGGAGATATCCCAAGAAAAACATGGATTGCATGTGGTAGGGCGCTGCAGCAAATTATTTCCTTAGCATCACAGAGTGTACCAGTGTTCTGTCTACTCCAGCCTGCTGCTGAAATGCAATTTTCTGAGTCACACAGCCCTTACATGGCAAAAATTAGCATAACCTCAGAAATAATTTTTCAAAAATCTATTCCTTGAAAGTTAGTCCAACATTAACGAGACAAAAAGCAATGTTGGCAGGGAATACCAGGATGTCATCCTTGAAACTTATGCCAGAGAAAGCTGAAATGTCAATAATGTCAAATGCATACAAATTTGAACCAAATAATACTGTTGTTAGCTCAATGACTTCATAACAATCAAGTTAAGGAGGAAAAAGGAGATGGGAAATAAATGAAAATGGGCTAGACAGTTTTTACCACAATTGGATAATCTGTCCAAGGGCATTAAAGGGGGCAGACGAGCATCCTAAGGATGGAATCAGCCCTGGGAAGACTTAACAGATCCTCTACAATGGAAAAACTAATAAATGCAAGGTAGTACTAATCTGTAATAAAGCCTACTATAATATTAAACAAGACCTAATTAAATTCAAATAAAGGCACTACATATATTGATCAATAATAAGTGCAAAATGTAATCAGAATCACAGCACTCAAAAATTAAGACCTACTACCGAAATGGGGGCAAGCACAGTGCGTTTGAAGACACATGTTCCACTCCACACTTTATGGACATCAGGACTTCAATGCCAAACCTTGGGTAAAATAATCCCCCCAGCATTTCCCGAGGAGAAATTCATGCCTGAGACACCAAAGCAGCTCTGAGCATCATTTTCCCAGCTCAACTTACAGCAAAAAGTTTTCCTAACTTTCCCATCCTTTTCGACGCCGTTTTACTGGATAATTTGGTTATAGGCATGAGGGATGAATTGCAGGCGGAGGGTAACTCAATCCCTCTCTCCCTGGAGGAGTTCTACTGGCAGCTTGAAGTGAGGTGCTGACCTTGGTTACTTTACCCTGGTTTTTTTCTCCTGCAAGCAACCACAACAGAAACCTCAAGCAAAATTGTCCTAAACTCTCCTGGAGATTTGGAATTCAGTCCAACATGGGTGCTATTTGAACTTCATGAAATGAACATCTTAAATAAAAAGGTTTGCGGTGGTGTGAAGCAGTAAAATTGATTTTAAAGCCTTAACATGCCAGCTCATCAAGAGAAATACAAGCACATTCATTAACTCCCGGCATGCTGGCAGTTTCAAAGATGCTACCCATGGCCAAGATCAGCCTGTTATCCCTAACACAAGCATTCGTTTGCTGCTATAGCCAGGAAACAACTCCAAGTTTTATATTTATATTTATTCTCTGTTTCAGGGAAACAGGGACTTAATACTAAACTCATTTTACATACAAACAACAGAAACATGAAGAAACTACAAGGTGGGAAGGTGGGACTACCCTCTTCATCATTTTAGCTGTCTGGAAATTTGGCATCTAACATAAGCCAAATGTTCAAAAAAGTTCCATGATCCATAGAGGATCCTGGTCCAAAGCATTTTGTTCCCACCCTTCCCACAGATTGTAAGAGATGTTGATGCTGGAAAACCATTTTTTTTTTAATTTCACACCCAACCTCACCTGACTCTGAACCACAGCCATTCAGGAGCCATGAAGTTCACCAAACAGCAGTTCAGACTGCACAGTAATGCTGGTACAACACGTCCAATGGGTCAGCATTTTGGATACCAGTCACACTTTTGGATATTTCTAGTCCAGCTGTCTGAACTGCCCAAAGTCACTTGGGAAGTATGCTGCAACACCAGGGTGCTTCACACTCAGTCTTGAGCTCATTCCCCTTTTGGAAAATGAAACTGTTTTTTATAGCCTTTATTTGTGCTCTCAGAAAACACATAAAAATTATTCCCAAGAAGCATCAAGCTTTTTGGAGTTTGTTTTTTTTTTTTTTTTTTAGCACAACTGTTAAAGAAATATGAAAATTCAATTCAACAAGACAATCCATTTTTCTCCATCATCAAGACTTCTCTTCATGGACAACATACATGGTATGGGATTGTGGTAGTTTGATATTTGGAGAAAGAAATAAGAAACACCAGGGATTTGCCAGCAATCAACCACAAGGAATGCCATTTCTGCCACTTCCCACCTGGTTCTGCTCAACTGCCCAGCAGCCCTGCCCACACCAGTGGCACCATCACAGCAGAGCATGTGGAAAGGGCTGCAGCCTCAGATGTTCATCCAAAACACCAAGGCATTGGGAATAACGTAAAAGAGTCAGAACCATCCAGTTCATGCTCTTTGTATCTATGCCCAGTTAGGAAATCTTCCCAAGAAAAGATCATTTGTAAAGCACTATCTATACAGTAAGGTCTAATGAGTTAATCCCCATCATGATGTATAGCTGATGCCTTCCCACAAAATAATGCAATCCAGCAAGGATGTATTCGTGGCATGTCACTACACATTCTCAATTAGAACGAGCATCAGCTCTCCCTGTCATGACCACAAAGAAAGACAAGATGGAAAACCACCACTCATCTCATCCCAAGTCAGCAGCTCCCAGTCTGTCTGCTTGGCACATGAGGGCAATCCTCTCCTTCACGGATGAGCTCCCTTTATTGCTGTTAAAGACCTCTCAGGTCCTCCTTTGTGGAGGACAGTTGACAAATTCAGGCAAACAGAACCAAACAAAAGAGAAAGGAAAAAAAGCAAACCCAACACATGCAGCCATTTGGCAGTGTGTACCCTGTGTTTTCCTGCCCAATTTTTAATTCCCCTTTCAATGGGGGTATATTGACATCATGTACCCAGCAGACCCATCAGTGTGGACCCCTCAAGCCTCTAGGCTCCAGCTCCCATGCCGACTTCTCTAATGTGACACTGCTTTGGGTGGAAGTCATGGGCAGTTATGACTCAGGGTTACAGCTCAGAAGCATTGCCCCTGGGGCACTGGGATGTTAGCAAAATACATCCCAGGTTTCATAACTAACCCTTCTTGACCTCTTTACTCCGTATTGGTTCTCAATACACAACTTCACAACTCACAAAATTAACACAGTTTTCTTCAAAGGGGTCAAATTTATTAAGGAAAAGCATCCACACAAGAACAACATCTCCCCAAAGGAGTCATCTCTGCAGGACACGCTGCAGATCAGACATTCAGGGTAAAAATACAGACAATACAAACCACCTCTGAGAGCAGCTTTTTCATACATCTGAGTAAACCACCCATAGACACCGTTAACTTCAGGAGGAACAGCAGAACCAAACAAACCATTGATGCAAAACCTCAAAAAAAAATACCAGAAAACACCTGGTTCAACTAATTTTATACAGTCTGCAACTGGATGCCCTCTGTGAGCACAGAGAACCGCACAGAATGACAGAATGGGTAAGGCTGGAAGGGAGCACATGGCCATACACATCATGCAGTTTACAAAGGGGACTGTACAGATCTGTAGTGATGCCGTGCTCTCTCTAGACACAGACGTGTCACCACTGAATGTGGCAAGCTGCCGGCTGGCCCAGACAGCCCCTGGAGCTGCTGATGAAAAGCAGCTGGATCTTGAAGAGAAGTCTGCAAGGAGCTGAGGGGAGACCGGACTGAACAATGCCACAATTTTTTTCCCCCCCAGATTTATAACAATGGCTCTGTGAGGATATAACACCTCAAAGCCTTTGTTGAAAGGCCTGGCTACAAGGATGGAGCATGCAGAGAGCACAGGGCTGCCCAGCCTGCTGCTCCCTCCCCACCTTCCTATCCAAGCACCCGTGTACACACTCACTGTCCCATGAAGCTACTTTAAAGAAGCTGTCTGAAACAGGAGACAGCTCAAATAGATTTTCATCACCACATCCTGCACATATCAAGTGAAATCAGAAAGAGGGAGGTGCAGTCCACAAAATAAATAAGCAATTAACCCTCACAGTGAAAGAGTCAACGTCTTGGCTTTGGGGAAGGGGAGGAATGGCAATTGGGGAAAAACTCATTAACACCGGGAAAATTAGTGAAACTATCAATGAAATGAAGCAGGTCACCTGCAGGACAGGAGAACACAGGTGAGAGGTGAGGAGAAACCAGCCATCTGTGGCTACAGCTGAGCTGACAACACCCAGCAGACACACGTGCAGGTCCAAATCACAGCAAAATAATTAACTTTGTTAAAAGCTCCGGTAGGGTGTAAATCCAGGCTGGGTGTAAAACTGAGGCAGAACAACAGATGGGCAGAGCAACAGCTCAGCACTGCTCCACCCTGCACTCAGCATCACCAGGATGGCCATGGAGGGTCCTAAACCCACAGCAGTTTTGAGCTAGGGCACTTGTGACTGTGAGCACTGTTCCCACTCGAGCAGCAGCAGCCGCTTGGATTCATGCATTGCATCAAACGTGAGGCAAAGCACGGCCCAAAAGCCATCCCAGGAGGGTTTAAACCATCGGTCTCCAGTGGTACCTGTTGGAGCAGCAGCTCGGGGGGCTCTGCTCACCCAGTGCTCCCCACACTGCCTTCACCAGCGGGATTTAAGCTGCAATTTGTGCTGGGATCGGCGCTGGGCTGCTGAGGAAGCTGCAGAAGCAGAGACCTCCCCAGGGGCAGCCAGGGGACCCACCTCCCCACCGGGACAGCACAGCCACAGCCCACACTCTCCATCTCCTGGCCTCTGGGCTTTGCTTTTTTCTGCCTCTTTGGAAGGTCGCTGGGTTTGACAAAGTTATCTTCTCCTGTTGGACCAAACTGCTTTTTCTCAGGGTTGATCAACTTGTGTCATGCAAATTACCCAGGGTGGAGGTAAACCAAGAAAAGGGGCATTCAGATGGTTCCTTTCATGTTTCACAGATCATTTGCATCCTTATTCTCTGCCTTTAGGGCAACTCTCAGTTGACTGAACACCTGCTTTTAGCTGCCGGGAAGCACAGAACAAACCTCCTTCTCCACCCACCCCCAATTCACACCCCTTCCAAGTATTCATCAGCTTCGTGGCTTTGCATCCATGAGCCCTGAATATCCTTGCTGATATCCACGGTGTCAGCACAGCACAAAAATGCTTCAAAAAACCGGAGTGATAGAGAAAGCAAGCCAGATAGAGTGAACTTCAGTGTGAAAAAAACAGAGAGATGTCCAGCAGCCACGTACAAATGAGGCTGTTCCCTGGGAATCACTGATACTACAAAAATCATCCCCACTTCTTAGACAAAGCCTTGCATCTCCCGTAAAATCGCTCATCCTGAACATTAATTCTCACAGCAACTCCGAAAAATGTTTATTCCTGCTCTCTGGATGGAGAACTGAGGCACAGATTCAGAGCAAAGGCACTGGTGGCAGAAGCAAGCATCAAAGACAAGGGCACTATGGGTCCCTGCAACATCTTGTGGTCCCCAAGGCAGACAGAAGGAGACGCGTGTGCCAGGCTCAGGCAGAGGGCAGTGACCACAGCAGTTCACTGTGACAGCTTCCCTTGCTATAAAAAGAGAGATTCCTCTCTTCAGGGTGGCAATAAGAACACTCCAATTATTAGTAACACAGAAAAGCTAGCAGTAAATTGCAGAGAAAACATTAAATAAATGAAGAATAACACATACACACATTTCCTTTGCCCACTTACAACTAAACAAGAGTGATGTACTACAGCAATTATATATAACAAATTATATTTGTTCTTTGACTTAAAGGTGACAATCTTGACAACAGACCATCATCATCAATCCCTATTTCTGAACAGACTGCCCTCAGAGAACAAACATATTGAGGCCATCAGCAGAAACATAAGCCTACCAAAACTCTTCCAGTTACCTCTGCTTAGGTACAACACCTTGTACATCTAAATTTCAACCGGTGTCAGTATTTATCCTCGCTGCAGTAGGAACGATCCAGCACAGGCTGAGCACTGCAAACACAAGCAGAAAAAGCTTCCATCTCTCAAAGCACTAGGAGGAGAAGCAGAGGAGGTGATCTAGCAAAGTCAGGCAGGTGTCTGTGGTGGGATTTCCCCTGGATGAGAGATGAAGTGATGTGCACAAAAGCTCTGGATGGAGATTCTAATCAACAGAGAGCTGACATGCAGGCCCCAGTTCTTCACAACCACACCTGGGGGATTCTGCACCTTAGCCAAGGTACCAGGATGTGGATGCTCCCTCTACAGGTGTCAGGTTCCCAT